TCAAACCAACGGCTCGGAGGTGACGGTGACGCAGGGCAGGGTGTCCATCAGGGACAACCACGTGGCGTGCTCGTTCATGGTGACGCTGGGCAGTGTCACACCGGGGGACGCGGGCTGGTACTCCTGTGAGGTGAGGACAAGCCTGTGGTTCAGCCTCTGGCACAACACCAAGGTGATGGTCTCCACAGGTAAAGCTGGGCTGGGAGCAAAGCAGAGGCGTGGGATGGAGCCTGTCACAGGGTCACAGCGCTGGGGACAGGGCTTCCCCAGATGGGGGAACGCTGGGGTTGTCAAAGCAGGAGCCAGCTCCTTGCAGGCACCGAGACCTGCTGGAGGCTGCCCCAGGGCAAATTTGGATGAGGGATGGAGGAGGTTGCCCAGAACTTCGTGCAGAGTGGAGCTTCTCCCTCGCTCTCATTTAGGGTCCCTGCTTCCACGAGACCATTTTTTGGGGTTCCCTGCCAGTTAAACCCCCTTTTCATTCTTCCTCCTCCCCAGTGCCCGGTGCACTGCCCGGGGACCCCCATCTCCACCTCCTGCACCTTCACAGCCAGAGTCTTGGGGCAGACACCCCCAACACAGGGGGCAGGACAGGGAAGAGGGGTCTCCACTTTCACAGAATCACAGAATCACAGAATCACAGAATAGTAGGGGTTGGAAGGGACCTCTGTGGGTCATCTAGTCCAACCCCCCTGCTAAAGCAGGGTCACCTACAGCACACCTACACCTTTGCTCTGACTCTGTGCTTTCTTCACAGCTGTTTCAACCACAACCGAGGGCAGCAACGTCAACCTGTTGGCCAGCAACCCCCTGTGCCCCACGGGCTGTGGAGAGCCTCCAGTGCTGTGAGTCAGGGCGGGGCCCAGGCAAGCCCCCAACATCATCCTCCAGCCTAAAATCCCCTTTCCCTCGCATGGATCCCCCAGCCCCGGGTCCCTCCAGGTTGCAGCAGCCCCAGGGAGCACCCCGGGAGCAGGCAGGGCGTCTGGCAGACACACAGTGCCCCCGTCCCCATCCTCATCACCCACACCCCACTCAAGCCCTGGCATCATCTCCTTTCTCCTACCCAGGTCCCAGTTCGGTGTCACCCCCCTGCTGCTCTTGCTCGGCGTGAAGGTGCCCGTGGCGGTGGCCCTGGCGTGTGGGGCTGCCTGGGTGAGGAGCCGGCGCAGGAGCTGCGACCGGGGAAACCTGCAGCTCTGGGAGGTG